GTAATATGTGTGACTCTGGTATCCATCTAGAACATGTGGGCATTCGAGAACAAAGAGAAGTGTGACTGAGCCTGTCCAGTCTGTAGTGCTCAAGATGGTTACATGGGTGCTTTTTTTCTGCTTCTTCCTTTTACCTACCTGCTGGCTGGCTGAGAACTCCCTRTACCTTCCACAATAAAATATCAGATGTGAAAGAAAAATAATCTCACCCCTTGTCTGGCATGTTGACAAAGATATCTGACTTGGTTAGACTTTGAGCATGAGGAAAAATCCAGGAGTGACTTGTGGGATTAAGAAGGGCTTCCCATGAAGTCTGGGGACAAAAAAGCAGTCGTGGACTTTAAAGTCAGTGAGTTCTAGTTTCTGCAGATCCAGAGGATTGTCTCTCTGATCTTAGATTCTAATTCTACAACCAAAGTGATGCTAATCTTCCAAAAAGAGAAAGAAAACCCAGAATGGTATTATCCACAAAAGATGAAAATCCTCATGCTACAAAAGTTCAAGCAAGAAGAAATGCGCTTGCTGTGTAAAATGGATGTGAACCAGGCATGATGGTGCATGCTTGTAATCCTAGAGATGCTGGAGACTGAGGGAGAATATCCCAAGTTTGAGGTCAACTTGTCTCAAAATAAAAAATTAAAAAAGGCACTGGGGTGGTACTCTGGTTTTGGGGAGTAGCTTTTCATTGTTGTTGTTTTCCAGCCTTCTGACTGACATTGGAGATGAAGAGGGTGATAGACAGGTGAGGCAGAGGACGGTGGGGCCATGAGAGACCATACTGAGGGCCCCACTCTTCTGAGGAGGAAGGTTTTGTTCCCTTCCAGAGAAGACCCTGAGATCTCCTGGAGGAGATCTGCGTGGGGCACTGTGGTTCTCTAAGGCTGGTGTGGCTGTGGGGTCAGGTGAGGGAGAGGGAGGTGGGGCTACTGGCTARGAATTTGGCTATCTGCAGAGCATCTTTCTTACTTCTCCATTGTGCTTTATGGAGTGTACTTTCTGCCACTTTCTCTGGAGAATTGTTCATTCCTAGGGAGACCTTGAGGCTAGAGCCATTGAAACCTGGATGATTTGCTCATTTGCAAACAGAGCCTCCCACAAAGTGGAAGGAGGGTTAATCTTAATGGAAACAATAGCCCATTTAACAAATCCAACATTTAATGAACCCAAACAGCTTGCCTTAAAAAAAAAAATCAGTTACTAAAGCAGCTTTTAAAACTTTAATGAATGCTTATTAGCTTTATTTTTAAAGTCTCATCTATTACCTTAGTGTGAGTTCACTGGTATTCTTGATCATATGACTCACCACCTAGATATAATTTCTGAGCTACAAATGAAAATGTTGATTGGAATTTTGTGACCCTTTTGTGTCTGGACGCTTTCACAAATCATTCAGGAACTTCAAATATTGCAGGTTACCATCTGTTACTTGGTAATGCACAGAACAAAGAAGCAGGACAAACCAGCTCATCTTTTGATGACTCTTCCATAAAAGCCTCTATACTGGGTTCTTTCAAAGTCCTAGAATTGATAAGAACTTCTGATCAGTTTTACGTATATGTTTTTGAAGAAATAACCATGGTCTCAGCTGGAGACTTTGTTTTTGGATCCTATTTTCCAGTGGCGCCCCTCTTCCTCCATCTTCATCTCAGGAAGGGAGAGGAGTGTTGGAAAACAGAAAGGGGACTGAGTGGGGCATCAGACTGGTGGGTAATTACCAGAAAAAAAATAGAAGCCTCCTGTCTTTTATCAGAGCAAGTATCAAATACTGTTGGGCCCAAGTACACTTTGTCCCATCCTCTTTCTTATGCAAATTAAACATCTAGAGACCAGCCTCCACAAAAGTTGAATCCACTTCCCCAACTTCATTCAGCTTGTCCTTGAAAGGAGTATCATGTACCTGATTGTTAGCTGGACCTACCCTCCAAGAAATTGTAGGAGAGATCGTTTTGTCTCAGGCTCTTATCATTATTGGGCTTCTCTAGAAATCAAAAGCACCTGCTCTTTTGTTAGAGTGGGCTTCTAAAGGGACAACTATTACCATTAGAAAACACCCAGATTCATACGGGAACACTATTGATATGTACGCCCAGCCTGAGGATGCCGACCTTAGAGGAAACGCTCTGTAACAGTGAGTCTGCATTGCTTACTGTGCACCAGGCACCGTGCTAAGCAATCCCTGTGACTTATTCCATTCTGTCCTTGTAAGAGCCATAAGGGATGGGAAGCCCCATTTTACAGATTTGGAAACTAATGGCTTGGAAAGTTCAAGTTTCTTGCCCAAGATCACAGAACTGGAAATGTAACAAACCCAAGACCTCTAATCCTAGTACCTGTGTTTATATTGACAAGTTCTGATAAACCATGATAATCCAGCACTGATGGCAATAGTGTGTGCTCTCCACTCCCAATAGGCTCCCCTTTTTGGATTTTCTAAGTAGAACTCAGCATAGAAACAAAAGACTTTCCTGGTGCCTTACCTTGATGGAAGAAAAGAAAGTATGTCTATGTTAACAATGTTAACAAATGTCCCACTTGTTAATATTCTGAGTAACATTGCATCATGGGCATGATCATATCTTCCAAAAGAGGAACTTTAGGCTCACAGAACCTAAGTCGTCTGCTTGAGGATCCACAGTGAGGGAGTGGATTCTGGGCAGATGACAGAGTGCCATGGCTCAGCCTCACCCTGCAGCATCTTCCAGCATGCAGCAGACATTTCCACTAGAGACAGGAAAGGCAGTAATTTCCACTGCCACCCTCTAAGTTACATGAACTCTCACCTTCCAGGCTGGAGATGTTACCAATGACCTACCTGCCTGGGTCAAGGTTGGTTGAAAAGGAGTACACTTTTGAAGTTGGAATGAGAACAAGGATCCCAAACCCCACTGAAGAGCAATACTGAATTGTCAGTGACCAATGATGGTTTAATGTCAAAATAGTCCAATCTGTGCACCAGGGCTGTTCTAGGCCTCCAAGACCTGGCTTAGCCTATTCGTTCCTTCCTCCATTGAGCACTCCCAACCTCTCTCTTTACCTCCTCCCATCCCACTTTCCCGGGGCAGGCTCCTGTGAAAACTCCTGTCACTCTCTGTACTGCCCTCCCCCTAGTTTCTCAGGGAAAGAATCAATTTCTGAGCTGCCTGTGACTTTCAGGGCCTCGTCCAGTACCTAGTGTACCACAGAGGCTCAATAAATGTTTAATAAAAGGGAGGGGAGACAACACAGAGAGTTAGTGCTATGCCCAAGAAGTGAGTCCTTTTTCTGCTCAGTAATGAACTATGCAGAACGGTATAAACTGTTGTTGATGTTTCCAGGCTTCAGTAAACCTAATCCTACTGTTAAAAAAAATTCTTTTTAATATATTCTCTCCTCCACCTCCCTTTTCAGCCCATATTTTTTTAAAAGCCACAAAGCACATCACATATGTATCATGCAAAGTAGATAGGTCTCACATTGTATCAATCCCAAGTCTGCAATGGGCCACTTTGTGGCAGATCTAAGGAAAAGAAATGCAATTCATGTGACAAATACATATTATCAAAAGCTATTAAATATCTTTTCATATAAACCTGTTTATTTATCTTGTACCTTACAATTTACAAGCGGCTTGATCTCATGGCTCTCTTAGTCTATAAGGTTAGTCCAGGATTATAGCATCCATTATATAGAAAAGGAAACTGAGTCTGGCTTGCCATATGGCTATTAATTCTTTGACACCATTATTATAAGACATACCATTGATTTAACAATATGTTCTGAAGACATAAGCTATCTCTACAGCATTATATAGGCATATTGCTTATAAGATACAGCCCAGTGGTTTTGAAGCATGTAATTATGTGTGTCCCCAGTAATATATTTGGAGACTTCATAGGAGAGCATCCTTCCTGTTATTTTCAATGGCATCTTGTTGGGGACTAAGGACTCAATTAAGGAGAACCTTTCTTTCTAAGTTCCTCCTTTCAATGTCATTGCTCTGGCTTGGAAGCCTGGAGGGTGTAATTTAAAGCTGTACTTCAAGATAAAATTCTAGACATCAGAGTTCATTTTTTTTAAATACTAGAGAAAAACAACCTTTAAAATGTTCATATTAATACAGCCTAATCTTGTACCTGATTTATGGCACAGGACAGATATTCAATAGTCAAATAGAAAAAAATAAAGAAGGTGGAGGCCTCCAAGACCTGGCTTAGCCTATTCGTTCCTGAGTGGGCTGAAAAGGGAGGTGGAGGAGGGAATATATTAAAAAGAATTTTTTTAAACAGTAGGATTAGGTTTACTGAAGCCTGGAAACATCAACAACAGTTTATACAGGTAATACAGCCTTACCTGTCAAATGTAATAATGCTGGACTTGAGTCTTCTTAAAAAAGTTTAATTCACCTATCTATAAAAATAAGAAAGCAAGAAATAAAACAAAGAAAGGAAGATGTAAAAGAAATAAAATTGACACCTAGAACTGCRTAGAGAGAGTTTGCCTCCATTAGAGTTATTTTTTTGTACTAGGAGAAAAATCAACTTTTTATTCTAGCCCTAGTTGAAATGGTTAAGAAAAAAAAGTTTCTGATTCTATGCAGTAAAAGAAATTAGGCTCAAGTGGTAACTGAGCTTCCCATTGGATTATTGTGCAAGGTTCCTTTATTCCCACCACAGTGGATAATGTGTGCTCATTGTGATTTATCTGCAGCCGGTTTCTTTTACACCCTCGGGCTATATAAACTGGAACTAGGACTGGGGCTGGAGGTTTGGGGAGCACTGGGAGGCAGCATCCACAGTCCAGAGAGAATGAGACAGTTGGGAACATGAGCAACCTCCTGTGTCATTGACGATCCCAGTGGTATGAGCCTCACTTTATGCTTTTCTGTGCTGACAAGGTGATGATCAGGAACTGGGGAAAGCATCGTTGACCTCCTGTGAACAGTTCCTCCAACAATGTGTGGGCTGCTTTGTTCTTACCCTTGATTTTAACTATTTGCTCGTGTTTCTGACCTAGAACAATCGAGGCCCAAGCTCTGGAAGGACCATAGCCATTTGGTCACTCGGGTTTGGCCATCTGCAAAGGCCAGGTTCTGAGGAGCGATGGTGATGAGGGCCTTTGTCCTGTTGGCCGTCTTTGTAGAAGCCTCCGCGAGATCCTGCACTCCAAATAAAGCAGGTACGCCTCAGAGCCACCCATCCTCCGGGGAAAGGGAAGTTTCCAGAATTTTCCTTTGCAATGATCAGAGTTGAGGGTTGTCTTTGTTTGGCAAATGCAAAGACAAGAGAAAGCATTTAAGCCCCTCAGGGCCAGCAGACTGTCTCCACAGGAAGCGAAAGTGTTGGGTGATCTGACTTTTCTAACATTGGAGAATGCTCTCCAACTTCTTTTTTTTTTTTTTATTTTCCTATTTGACTATTGACTATCTGTCCTGTGCCATAAATCAACGTTTTACAATATTTTGCATGAAATAAACATTTAAAAATTTTAAGGTATGTGCTCGTTTTCACAGCTATATGTGTGTATGTGTGTGTGTATTCTAATCTGTGATTTCACATAGTCCTTTTAAAATAAAAGTTTAAAAATGAACCAATTTAAAATATACTAAYACAGTATAGTTATTAAATAAACTCTAAAAGTAGAAATTTAGTGAAATTTTGGGGAAAATGCTGTCTKYTAAAGAATAGCAGGGAAGATATTTTTGACCACAGGCTCTGCGTGTTCKGGGGTGATTGGGATCTTTAAAGTAGGTGGTTACCATGACCCAGTCTGACTCAGGCCATGTGCATGTTCTTCCAGATGTCATCCTTGTGTTTTGTTATCCCAAAACCATCATCACCAAAATCCCTGAGTGTCCCTATGGATGGGAAGTGCACCAGCTGGCCCTTGGGGGRCTGTGTTACAATGGAGTCCATGAAGGTGGTTACTACCAATTTGTCATCCCAGATTTATCACCTAAAAACAAGTCCTATTGTGGAACCCAGTCTGAGGTAAGGCTAAGCCACATTGTGCTTAAGATTAGGCAACTAGCCTGAGAATGACTTGGCTTTATTCTCCTGATTTATTGCTGGCATGCACAAGGCCCCCTTTATGGTTTTGTTGTTTTTCTTTTTGAGACAGGATCTCACTAAGTTGCTTAGGACCTTGATAAGTTGCTGAGGCTGGCCTTGAACTTGTGATCCTCCTTCCTCAGCCTCCCAAGTTGCTGGATTACAAGGCMCCCCTCTATGCATAGAGCAAAGTACATTTCCCACTTCTGACTCACTTCAAATTCTTAGCTTATGCTCCCAAGCCTCTGTCCTTCTTGGTTGGACAGGCAGAGGAATGGACCATCCTTTCTCCAAGAATTGGAAGTGATAAGGAAATGCATTTGGAAGAGTATTTTAAAGGASTGAACAGAATACAGCACAATCTTCAACTGGGCCATATGAAGTACCTAAGACAGGGAAYCATGGAATTAATAGCAGACATTCTCTTGCCAAATTTCCTTGTATGACAGAGGAGAAATCTGATACCTCCATAAAGCCACAGTTCAAGGCCACAGAACCAATAGGGACATAGTCATGAAGGGAGGCTAGGTCTCCCGACCTTCCTGTTGAGGTTCAGCTGCCTTGACCAAAAGATGATTATCCATCTGTGGGTCCCAGCATCTAATATTATGTGATTTTAGAGTCCAACATGCCAGAAGAAAGAATCTCAGAAACCGTGCTTATTGTTAGAAAAAAAGGAAATGCACAGAACGAGACAGTAGTGTTCTAGAAATGGCAGAGGGGAGAAAACATTCACTTATTACCCTTTAATAAGTGAAATGGATAAAAAGTTGATGCTGGGAAGTAGGCATTCTTGAGCAGCTTCTTTTTGGTTGGAAGCCCAATGGGTTTATGGATTTTTTTTTAAAGCATACAACATCAACCTAGATTATTCTAAACCATTTTAGTTGAAGGCACTCAAGAACTCTTTACAAAATTCTTTACGAAAATTACCAGGTCACACACAGACAGGAAGGGGAAGTTCTATCATCCATGCCAAACACTGCTGTCCCCACATTGGGCTTTTTTTTTTTTCGGAGCCATCTTCATCCGCATTTCCCAGAACTCTCACCCTTACCCTGGGGGCCCAGGGCCACCCTAACTGCCTTCTCCCTTTTTCCAGTACAAGCCCCCCATCTACCACTTCTACAGCCACATCGTTTCTAACGACAGCACGGTGGTCATCAAGAACCAGCCGGTGAACTACTCTTTCTCGTGCACCTACCACTCCACCTACTTGGTGAACCAGGCTGCCTTTGACCAGAGGTAGGCTGCTCTTCGGAGAGGGGGGGCTGCTGCCTGGGAGTGTGCTGCAGCCCTAGCAACCAGGCGTGTTTCAGTCCTTATGCAAAATTCTCTCCCCTTTTCAGAGTGGCCACTGTTCATGTGAAGAACGGGAGCATGGGCACTTTTGAAAGCCAATTGTCTCTCAACTTCTACACTGTAAGTCCAGGTTCCCTTTCCTGCCCTGTGGCCTTTCCAGGAGACCATGGGACACTTGCTCAGGATTCACTCTGCCCAGGCTCTAGGCAAAGCTCCATTGAGAACTCAAGTTGAGACATATGCTGTGGTTTAGTTTCCAACCTCTTTAAAGAGTAAATGTAGMAGAAAGTCAGACTCCGTAGAAGGAATAGAAGAGCTAAACGGTGCCACAAAGGTAAGGCCAACCTTCCCACCTCACAGGTGAGAAGCTTGAGGCAATGTCAGAAGACGGTAAAGCAGTCCATATCCGACTCTTAATCGAGATGGGTTTCCRTTATAGCCTACTCCAGAGATCTATTTATATTTAAAATCTAGCTCTTTTTAAAGCATTTGGCATACAGCATTGAATTTCCTCACAGAGCTGAGGAGAAGAGTTAGGGCTGTCCTCTGCTTCCTAGCTTTCAGTTCATGAGTTCCCTCGTTACCTGACTCGGGTCTGCAGCCTATATTGACATTGAAGTTAAAGGCACACTTTGGTAACCCTCAAAATAAAGGGCCCCAAGAAATTAAACATGCCATGGCCACCAGCTCAGCTGCCCTCCTGCTTAGAAGGGGTGACTTCTGGTGAGACAAATGCACACAGAGGAGACACTGGCCAGCTGACTACAGGAAGACGCAGGCAGACACAGAACCTTGACCTAGAACATAGAGCTGGAAGACGTCCTCAGAGGACAACACGTCCGACCCCTTTATTTCACAAAAGGAAAGTTCTCCTGCCTGGAATTCCATTAACTTTGAACTCCTAGAACTCACTGTACCTGCTTCCTAGAAGGCTCTTAATCGTGCCAAACTCAGTAGCGAGAATCAGAAGAATCTTAAATAACCCAGTCCCTTGTACAGGTGAGGATCTGAAGCCCAGAAGAGAAGGACATGATTTGCCCAAGGTCACCTGGGTACTTTGGAGGAGCCCAGTCTACAGCTGTGGTTTCAGTGGACTCCCCGTGAAGGGCTTGAAGCTGAAGTGTAAGGGCCCCTCCCTACACGGGGTCCTTGTCAAGCCCTGTGTCTAATTTTGGATTCAATTTTTTGAGTCTTTTTATTAAAGAGGACTCTCCAAACGGGGTAAGCTTCAAGGTCCCCTAAAACCTAGATTTGCCCCTGGCCACACACCACTAGTGGTTACATCCTGAGAATCAGAAATCCCTGCCGTGCCTTAGCCCTGTCATTAGGGGCATAAATAAAGTGTGGGCCACCAGGGTGATAAAAGGATGAGGAAATCCTGCAGGACTGATGAAGGCTGTCCAGARAAGAAATAGGCTTCCACGTATTGACAACAGTCTCAGGGGACGTCCTAATGACAGGTTGTCATTACTATTGAGTCCCTGTCCGGAAGTGAATAATTGTTATTTTCACCAGATAAAATTATAGATATGATTCAATGAAGGTTTTACAACAGTTGGTAATAGAGAGACACCAGGGTTTTTGAAAAGGTCACCCACTATCAGTCATGTTAAGCCGAGATTCAGACAAAAATATCAAACCATTGAACTAGAAGGAGCTTACTCCTTTAAAAAATTTTTATGAGGGCTGGGGATGTGGCTCAAGTGGTAGCGCGCTCGCCTGGCATGCGTGCGGCCCGGGTTCCATCCTCAGCACCACATACAAACAAAGATGTTGTGTCTGCCGAAAAACTAAAAAATAAATATTAAAATTCTCTCTCTCTCTCTTAAAAAAAATTTAAAAAAATTTATGAGGCATGTTCTCAGCATCAGCCAGACAGACCATTCTCTGATCCCTCCCTGTTCAGGAGGGATATAGAAATGAGGCTAAGGCCTCCCCAGGGCCCAGCAAGACCTGTGCAGGACAGACCTCAGCAAAGAGAGGGTTCTGCCATCCAGAGACTTTTGTATTAATGAATATTCCCACTGTGGACTTGGTTTCCTATGCCTGGCCTGTGTGCTTTTATTTTCTTCTCTCTCTCTCTCTCTTTTCTCCCTCTTTGAGAGCGTTCTTGTGTGTTTCTGAAGCAACAAGTGTTCCTTGCATATATTTCCATCAAATTACCAGAAGCTGAGCTGTGCCCCAGATAGCACAATGGAACTGGCGCACTGCTAATTGCTTAGGATTCCGAGAACTTCAAATGCTGGATTCCAAAAGCACTAGTTCTACTCAGTATGCTTCCTCTCTCTTTCCTCTCCATCCCCCTTCCACGCACTTTTGCCAAGAACCCATAGTTGGTATTCCCAGCGGAAAGTTATTTGGACTCCTAATCCAACATGAAGGAAGTTGGTTTACAGAAGTAGTCTAGTACTATGGTTAAGAAAATGGACCGTGCCATCAGAACACTGGTATGAAGCCTGGTTCCACTGTTTACTAGTTTTGTGACCTTGGGCAAGTTAGTTAACCTCTCGGTGCCTCTATCTCTGCATTTATAAAGTAGGGATATAATAACACTTAGCCCTTAGGTTTATTATGATAATTAAATGAAATAATGTTTAGGAAGGAAGCACTTAATAYAGTGCCTGGCACTAGGTAACTGCCCAAGAAAATAGCCATTCTCATGATTGCAGACTTTGAACCTACTTAACCTGGAATCTCTGAGGGTTCCTATTATTGTGACCTCTATGGCATTGAATATCAATATCAGTAGTATGGGAATGGGTTGACTTTTATTCAATCAAAGCAGTAATTCTTAGTTAGACAAAGAGAAATGAAAAAGCTCTAAATAAATRCAAGCAACAGAAGCTAAAAATCACGATTCCCAGAGTCAGAACAAATCTCGAAAGCAATCAACCTTGACCTCCCACCCAAAGTTCAGAACACTTCTGCAAGATTGGTGAGGGATGGCTTCTCTGCCTCTCTCAAAGATAATGGCAATTGGGTCTTCTCATTTTAATTCAGCATTTGAAAACTGATACACAGAACTCTTGCCCATTTGTTCTCTCTCCTGAATAATACCATGTAATTATTTTGTGTCCTTCAAATATCTTTCATCTTCCTCAAGCTAAACATCTTCTCACTATAGTTCATTCACCATCTCCTCTGAGTATGGTTCCATTGGTCAATGCTGCTATTAAAAAGTAGAGCCCAGACCGCTGGGCATGGTGGCATGTAATCCCAGAGGCTCGGGAGGCAGAGAGTGTAGAATCACAAATTCAAAGCCAGCCTCAGCAAATTAGTGAGGCCTTAACAATTTAGACAGATTCTGTCTCAAAATAAAAAAAAATCAAAAAATGGGCTGGGAATGTAGCTCAGGGGTTAAGTGCCCTTGGGTTCAATCCCAGGTACCAAAAAGAAAAGAAAAAAGTGGACCTTGTCAGACTAATGTGGGGCCAGGTGAGTCAGGGGTGACCTTCTAATTTCTGGAGGACTCTATGAACATGTCTTAGGATCTAACTTTGGAACGCTTTTCTTGTACTTTTCTTGTATTTCATGTTGAGCTCGTGAGTGGAAGAAATGCCTAGATTTTCCCATGTGAACTGCTGTTATATCAGGCGCACCTAATCTTGTACAGTTAGCTGGTTGTGATTCGGCCCTAGGGTCAGGGGAAGAGACTGTATGGTGTGGTTTTTCAAGGTGTTCTTCCATTCTGTTGGATGGATGAGCAGTTCATGCAGCATTTCTATGTTTTTAGGGATGCCAAAACAAAGTCCTGTGTTGTAGGGTGAAGATATCTGGAACAGGTCCCTAATTTTCATGTTATAAAGAAAGAAAGGACTAGATTAGCAACWATATTGTGGTTCCTGGGTCAGTTAYCATCAGTTACCACCTTTGCAAATGTGTTCTTAAAATATGGTCAACCTCAGGCAGTAACACGGGTCATAAAAAGCCACTGTAAATCTGCCATGTTAAGCGGATGAATCATTTATGACTAAGAACATTCTAATTTAAGTTTTGCAACCACTGAAATGGTGCAGGGACCTGACAAATGGAAGAGAAACCATTGACTTCTAGGTGAAAGATTCTAGGAGGCCTCGGCTGGATCTGCAATCAGTAAAACAACATAAGAGGTCTTCAAAGATGAAAGATTCTGAGTCTTAACATAAAAGTCCCTGTGTGTTTGACCCCAAGGGGGTAAAATTTCATTTTGACTAGATATCCTTGCTGAATGTGAGTTCTGCCTACTACTGCCTACAGATTGCAGTTCTGCAAAGCTCCAAGCCCATGAAACTCAATCTTTTAAATAGTACCCTGGTATGTACTTTGTGTTTCTGTTCCATAACGGCCCAAGTTAGTGGATGGAAGCTAAAGTTACCCCAGGATTCTTGTTCTTCCATCCAGTGATTTCGTCTCTGGCAACTAAATCCAGAGTGTTGTGCCAGGTTGTTAGTAGAGTTAAATGAGTCCAAGACTCAGAGAACGGAGAGGTCACCCTCCTTTGGGTAAGTCAACTGGAAATACTGCTGTTATTCCTAATAACACACCCAGAGCTGCCTAAGAAGATGCCGGGTATAGACCACACAACTGGGCTGCTGATCCGAACCTGCTGCCTCTGAGCTCAGGTCATAGTGGTGATTCCTGTCTGCACTCAGAGCTGAGGCCCCGGTCTCCTCCATCCTCCCCTGTAGTCTCCCTAATCTCCCCCGCCCCTGAGCCTCTCTCCACCCTCCGCCTTCACCCCTGACCTGCTCAGGGCATCTGCCTCGCTGGCCTCTTTGCAGCCACACCTTTGCCCCAGGGCCTTTTTCCCTAATTGAAGCATTCTTCCCTAGATGGCTGCATGGCCCCCTTCCCTGAAGTCTTGCTCAAATATCTCCTCTTCAGTGAAGACTCCCCACAGTATTTAAAATTGCAACCTGCCCTTCCATATGTTCTCAATCTACCTTACCCTAATCTACCATTTTTATAGTTTTTTTACATAACATACTATGTTCTTTTCCAACATACTATACAATTGACTTACTGTCTCTCTCTGCTAGAATATCAGACAGATCTTGACTTTGTTTACCAATATTTCTCACCATACAAAATATCCTGACATAGAAACCATCCAAATCTGTAGATCACTCCCTGACACATAGTAGATAGTTATGCATCTTCTTGTTGTTGTTAATTGCACTGGGAATCAGATCATAAAGTTTCTAACTCAGGCTGAAATCTGCCCAGGCAAGAAGGTAAGCAAGGGTAGAGAGGGGCTGTATGTGTTCGATCTCTCTGGTCTTTGGGTGATTCATCAAACACAGCACCTTAATATCTCTGGATTCGATTTGTTTCCATCAGTTAAATTTTGTTGGCATAGATGAGATGTACAGCGTGTGCCTCTCCATGACCAGCAAATCTAGAATATGGGATGTCCTCACTCCTACTAAGATGGCCCCAGCATCGTAGCTGGGGCAGCTTCTGTGCTATGCTATGTGGTCTCCTGTGCTTGTTCTTTGGGGTTGATTCCCATCCCCATCCCATTCCAATTCATCTGCTCCTGCCAGACCCAGCTTCTCAGTCTGAGAGGTCATAATGCCTGATGTCAATTTCCTTCCCAAGAATGCCAAGTTCTCTACCAAGAAAGAAGCGCCCTTTGTCCTGGAGACATCTGAGATTGGTTCAGATCTGTTTGCAGGAGTAGAAGCCAAAGGATTAAGTATTAGGTAAGTACATTTCTTTAGACTTATATTCCTAAGTATAAAGGGGGAAAAGCTAGCCCAGAGACTTTCCAAACACCAAATATTTCTAAGCCTAAGACTGTAGCTCCAAGTGGTACCATTTTGCTTTCTTTCCAGGTTTAAAGTGGTCCTGAACAGTTGCTGGGCCACACCCTCTGCTGACTTCATGTATCCCTTGCAGTGGCAACTGATCAACAAGGGGTAGGTTCCATTGTCTAGGGTCAGGGCTGATGGTGGGGCCAGGAGTATCCCAGCCTGCTTTGCTCTGGCTTGGGATAGCTTGGGAAGATACTTTTAGTTCACATTGGTATCTTTTGGAGGAAACCCTAGTTTTCAAGAGCTCTCGGAGGGATTAGAGCAGATCCATTATCAGGGACACTCCTGGGCACATGAGCACAAGTGAAACAGCACCGTGGAGTGATGGTGTAAAAGCTCCCAGTGGACTTCCACCAACAAGAGGTAGCTGTCACTGAGGGGCAAGTGGCATCTAGACTTGCTCACTGTCCGCCCTCTCGGTTCCCCTTCCACAAAGCTCTACTTACTCTTTTTTCCACTGGCTTACGCTTGAGCTGTAAAGAGCTATTTTAAGGTCTCACATCTTGAGTTCATACAAGGATCTCGGGTTTACTGACCAAATGATCCTGCAAGAATCTCATTTCATAACTTGGAAAATGCCCACAGCTCTGTTGCTACTCAGAAGCCACCACCAACAGAACCAGCTCTGACCCTTGGTCTAGATACGAAGGTACAACATTCACCCCTTGGAGGTGACGTCCTTTAGGTCCTGCCTCTACTCCAATAACGACACAATTAGATGCTACCCTTCTAGTCATTTTTTTTCCTGTGCTTATATTTTTAAAAATGACCACATATTTACAAAGGTAACTTTATAATATAAGTTAAAAAGTGGAACATAAATTCAAATTTCCAATGACAAAATCTCATCAGAGACACAGAGACATATGCCTTGAGTTTAGATGTCTGTGGTGACACAGGGAACTGCTGCTCCCAGTGCCCTGGTCATTATCTTGGGGTGTTTTACTCTGGGGGGGTCTGCCACATCCCAGTCCTCGGGAGGACTTTATCTCTTGGGCATTTCATTTCTTTAGGACAAGGGTGTGACCCACCAGGTGAATGGCTTCTCCTAAGCCACTCCCCTCTATTGTACCTAGCCTATAGAATGGGGACAATCCAACCCATCTCATAGGCCCTCAGCTTGATCTCATTAACTGTGAAGATCAAGTGAGGTGCTGCCTATCACAGTGCTTTGAAAGGACAAAGCGCTGCACACACTGTGTGTAACTTTGTCCAGAGCCCCTGCTGGAGCTCCCTGAGGTGACATTTGGTCTTCTTTCCCCCATGTGCATCAGCTGCCCCACCGATGAAACGGTCCTCGTGCACGAGAATGGGAAGGATCACAGGGCCACCTTCCAGTTCAATGCCTTCCGGTTCCAGAACATCCCCAAACTCTCCAAGGTTTGGTTGCACTGTGAGACATTCATCTGTGACAGCGAGAAGCTCTCCTGCCCAGTGGTAAGCCGCCCTCTTGGGAAGGAGAATGTTACATGGGGGTGGGGTCCTGGGGGAGCTGGGTTTGAACTGGGAAGTCATAACTGGCCAGGAGGATATGTGCAGAGGGCTCTCTGGGGAAATGGGCCCAGAGTAGGGTGGAAGCTCCAGGCCCGTCCACCTGCCTCCGACAACCTACCCAGACTGGTGAGTGTCACTTAAGCCCCTGGGCCTAGTTTTCTCATCTAAGTAGTGATGGCCTGTCCCCTTTTAGAGACCATGTAAGGCACTGACAGACATGGAAATGCTTTGGAAAAGCTGAAGTACAAGGGAAATTCAAGGTCTGCACAAAATTCAAAAGGCAGGGGTGTTTTAGTCTCAGTGGGGCAGTCTTCAGACACATGCTGCAGAAATTCTGGGGGAGGGCTGATGGGACCGGCCATCTGTGCATTCAGGCCATCAGGTGAGCCTGATGCTCACCTTGCTTCAGAATACCGTCTTATAGACTTAAAGTGCTGAATCCTAAACTGTTGGCCTCTCTGGTCTACGTGGACTAGAGGTCTCAGAGTTTCCAAAGAGGCTGCCTGTCTTTAATGTCTAGGGAACTGAAAAAATAAGGCTATGATCTTTGCAACATCTATAATCCCAGCAGCTTGGGAGACTGAGGCAGGAGGATCACAAGTTCAAAGCCAGCCTTAGCAAAAGCTAGGCGCCAAGCAACTCAATGAGACTCTCCGTCTCTAAATAAAACACAAAAGGCTGGGAATGTGGCTCAGTGGTTTAGTGCCCCTGAGTTCAATCCCCGATAATCCCCCCTTCACACCCTGTGAAAGAAAGAAAGAAAGAAAGAAAGAAAGAAAGAAAGAAAGAAAGAAAGAAAGAAAGAAAGAAAGAAAGAAAGAAAGGAAGAAAGAAAGAAAGGCTATGATCTCTAGTTGCATTGATTCATTTGGATAGAAGATGGTCATCCATGAGCACAGATAGTGAAAGGGAAAGGAGCCAGAGGGTGTGCGACTGGGGAAAGGCTGACAGAAACATTTTACAATTGATCAGAGGCTGAGTATTGACACCACATTAAACAAGAACATGTTTTGCAAGTGTCCTCAGTCACTATGATTAGAATAACTAAGTAAAAGACTCACTTTTATCAAAAGATGTGGGTCCATTCCTCCCACGTGTGGTAGAAAGGACCAAGCAGGATTTCTTCCAACTTGAATTCTTAATTTACTGAAGCTTTCCTCCTGGGTTCTCAGAATTATTTAAAACAAATAGATAAATATAAGCCAACWAGTAAGAGTTGACTGGAGAATTTTTACTCCATCCAGTTTGTGACTTTCTTTTTTTCTTTCTTTTTCTAATTCCCTCTTCTTTCCCTTCCTTTGTTCTCATCCTTCCTCTCGGGGTCATCAGACCTGTGACAAACGGAAGCGCCTGCTCCGGGACCAGACCGGGGGCGTGCTGGTGGTGGAGCTCTCCCTGCGGAGTAAGCGTGTTTCCCACTGGCTGGGCGCACTCTGGGCTGTGCCCACAGGCACAGCCGGTTTGAGCATTTTGACTGAATTGCCAAACCAGGTGTGCCTGTAGACACAGCTCTCACCTGCTCCTCCAGTCTTCCAGTGGGGGGAGGGAGGGGAATCCAAGAAGCTGAGGTTTGCTGAGTACCTTGAAAAGTTCTATGGATGGCTCAAATCCAAAATGACCCCAAGGAATCAGAAAATGCTGAGCTTCTGACTAGAACAYGCAGAGAACAATAATAATAGGAAAGAGAATGTTCTCTAGGCATGTCAGGTGCCAGTCAATGAGCCTCTATTGAGCTCCTAGCACTGGAGTTTTAGAAATAAACAGAACCAACCAGGAACTTTCCATCTAGCAAGGAGCAAGACCCCTGTGGAGGGGCAGGGGTGCCAGGAGGTATCCAGCAAGGGATTTAGCTCAGTCCAGGGCTTGTGAAAGACCTCTGTTGAAAATCGGAATGATGAACTGAGGGTAGTGTGACCTGGGGTGAGCAAGATGCTTGGGGAGACTGGGCACCATAGCAGCCATACTTGAGAGTCTAGCCAAGCCGAGGCTTCCTCCTGATTATGTGTGGTCTGCAAACCAAAAAAAAAAAAAAGAATTTAACATTTTCATATGGTTCCAAAAATGATCAAAAGAAGAACAACATTTCATGACCTATAAACATTAGTTGACATTCAAATTTCAGTATTTATAAACAAGGTTTTATTAGACTGGGGAGACACTTGTTCACTGAAGTGGTACTGTGGGCTGTTGCATTGATGCTTTGACCATGTGGATTAGTGGTCATAGAGACTGGCCCACAAAGCCGAAAATATTTACTCTCTGGTCCTTCCTGAAAAGTTCACCAGCCCCTGCCTCAGAAAGCCTGGGGAAAAAATGGTGTGAGACAAAGCCTTTGTGAGCTTCAGCATAGACCTTGCCCTAAAGGCAAGAGGGGGCTCAGGGTTTAAAGGGGACAGGGATACCGGGTTTATGATTCAGAAACAGTTCTGAGTTGTCTGCCCATGGTCTTTTCTTAAACCTGCGTTCTCTCTCTTCACTCACTCCAGGCAGGGGATCATGGAGGCTCGGTAGCTTCTCAGGTAAGGAAAAGAGGCACTTCCGGGATGCCACGGGCAATGCCCACTTTTGTAAAGCAGATGGATGTTTCAGAAGAAGTTTAACTTTGGCCCCAGCAAAAACGTTTAGAGTTGAAAATTACATGGGGCAGAAGCGGGCAGAGGTTAAGGGGTCTTTTTCCCACCAGCCGCTGAGATAGGAAGGGATGAATGAGCTGGGTATCAGCAGGACTGGAACCCATTTCCCCAAGTCTCAACAAAGTCATCACCAGGTGACTTTGCTTGGATTCCTTCATTTGGAGAACACAGTTTTTAATGATCTGTTCTTTCAACAAATATTTGAGTCCCTGTGACATCTCTGCCCCTCATTACTTGAGTGACCTTGGCAATGACCTGACCCCTCCATACCTTTTCCTCTGTGGAATTGGGCTAATCACTGTCCCTATCGTACCTGGTGTTGTATGGATTATTTAATGACAGCTAAGGGCATCAGACAACTCAGTGAACATGATAAGACCCTCGCCCTTCCTAATATGTGTGGAGTACATTGGGGTTGGGGGCACGTGATCCAAAGAGCAGGCAGGGAAGCCCTAGGAGGAAGAACCCTTTCAGCTATGAGCCAAGATCTCCCTGGAATGATGAGGAGGAGGTAATTGCAAGGAGATCATTTAGTAATCAACTTGCAGATGTCGACTTCACTCTTAGGGTCACAGGAAAATCCTGTAAATCAACTTTTTAGACTCCAATCCTAGATTCTCGTATTTAGAGAAAGTTCTGTGGCCAAGGTCCTACAAGGAAATGCTCCATCACGTAGGATGGAAGTTCAGGTCCTCAACCTAGGTTCAGCCGCCAGGTTCTTTGTACCGACAACAGCGAGCTGTGGAATCCCCAGGAGAGGAACAGAAATGACTTTGTATAAAACGTTGGAGTTTTATGCAAACCTACTTAAGACCCCTGAGCTGGGCCGTCCTGGGGTTAGAGCGGGGTGAGCTGCTCCTGCCCTCAGGCCTCTGTCTCAGAGCCCTCCCCGCCTGCTCTGGTTCACAGATGTTGTGCGCCACCTCGTCGTGATGCTGGGGATCTGCGCCCTGTTGTAGGAGTCAGCCTGGAGCTGCAGCTCCGCCCTCAGGTCGTCCTCAGCGRTGACAAACTCGTTTTTTTGTGCTGCCAAAAAGAGCAAACAGAAGACTACATTGTCGGGGAGCAGAGACCAGCGCTTTGCCAAATATGTGTTCCAATGATTTTTGTGAATTCCGTGATCCATCTTCTTTGGTGCCCCACTTCCTCTGGTTCCTTCAGTGGCCCTTAGATCCCGCCAGTCCCTCCCCTGCCGCTGGGGAGGAGTCTTCTCAGACTCCAGTCAAGGGTGCAGCGCCCTCCTCCTTTGAAAGCTATTTTAATTCTGAGAGACTGGCACACCCACCAAGTGCAGCCGAGCACTTTGAAGACCATGTAGTGCCTAACCACAAAGTCAATGCTAAATAGAGAACGCACAGGAGTAGCCAACTTCCCSGAAGGGGCTCTGTCATTGAGACTGGGCAGTTCTACCCAAGGACCAGAGCTGAGCCCGCAGGCAGGGAGTTGCAATCTTTCAAATAACCATGTAGGAATCAGAGTGGAATACCAGAGTTTTGCTAATAGGAAGGAAATGGATCCTTAAACGTTCTTGTACTAACCTAACTAGTTTTTACTATAGGTTTTATTAAATATATATAAACATTAGACAGGTATAAACTCCTTGTTTTTGTAGCTGATATATACTTTAACATCAAAAGAAAATTAGAAATTTGATAGAAAAAAACTCCAAAAGGCATAGGACAACCCCTCCCCCCCCCACACACACACAGGTTTTCTGTACTTGGTGACAACCTGATTTCCCATATACCTTGTGACATCCATGTCCTCAATATCTTTCTTCACTGGCTCTAAGAAATCTTCATGTGTACAGAATGGACTGATTTCACTTAGTCTTTACTTAAGATGTTCAAATCCATATACTTTTGTTTTTGTCTCATCAACTTAGGATCATCAGAATAGAACCCACAAAAAAATCAGAAATGCAAATGCAAATATGGCCAATGAAATCACGTGGAAATCTCATAATGGAGCCACCTCAGTGATCCAGAGAATGCCAGTATCCATGATTTACTTTGGTCACCAAAATAAAAACTGAATGTACCAACCCCGGTAGAGAACTAATAGGATAAGCCTGAGCTGTTAGTTCTTAATCACAAACATTTAATTAGCAGGCTTACAATTTGAAAACACACACCTGTTTGTCTCTCCGTTTTTAATGTATTTGAGAACTTTTGAGATTTGCAGTTTGATGGTTCTTGTACAATTTGGGCGAACTCAGAAATTAAACTACTCATCAGATCTCTCCAGAGTTGAAGTATATGTTTGGTTAGCAATAGGCTAGAGTAAAATGACTCAAGTTCAAACTTGGTCTCAAAGCTGATGTGCCAGACAGCCTGGGATCTTTTCCTTCTGTAAATTCAGAGTATTTTGTAGTCAAGAAGGACAGAAGACATATTTTTATGGGTTCTAGTAAATAGCATATAACAATAACTTAAATAGCATACTCATAGCCAGATTCATATTCTTTGATGTCAGAGTAAAACAATGCTTTAGTTTGGTTTTATTTTATCATTATGTTTTATGATCATGTATCTCTACCTGGTGCTATGGAATAAATGAAATGCCTTAAGATAAATAACCTATCACTACAGTTTGCAGTGTTGATATATCATGTTGAAAGCCAATTCCTCAACCTTCCCAGGAGTTTCTACAGCCAAGCGCTCCTTAGACTCATGTATATACCACAGACTTTCAATTGCTCTCTCCCACATTTACACCTGAAACACTTTACTACTTCGTTTTCTGTGCAAGGAGGTGAAGCCATTTCACATAACTAACATTTTGGTGAAGATGATTCTCTGGTCATCCCTGTCCATGAAGCACTAATCTCTCTTGCCAATCAACTGGATGTGTTTTGACTAAAGTTAACTCCCTGATGCTGTCTCATAACTTTCGGTTGAGGGATTAGCAGAAGGTACTCTCAAAACAATCTCTCATAAATTCTCATTAGTGCTAAACATCAAACACATCAAGAGGGAGAAAAGTATATTCTTAGGTATCATTGATTGGCATAGAAAAAACACTGCAGATAGCTTTTAGGTAACTGAGCTTATCAGAACTCCTAGTTATGATCCATAAACATTCTCTCCCCCCCACACACACACACTGTGTGTGTATGTGCATGTATATGTGTGCACATATGTGTGTCTAGGGGTGTCTGTATGTACATGTGTGTATGCATGTTTTGTGTGTATGTATATGTTTGGCTACCCAATGTTTACAACATTCAAAGAAGAGGCAAAACTAACAACATTTTTATTATATATGAATATAACTTCTATAAGCACATAGGTTAGGGCTAGAAGGAAATAAACACACACATCCTTCAAACAAATACAAAGAGGATAATAATGGAAACTTACCCTATCCAACCCCCATCCCTATATCTGAATATCATTTTCAAATGCCCTTTTATGTAACACTACTGAATTGCTTGATCCCTTCACTTCAGTTCATAGCTCTATTGATCCTTAAAATTCTACTACTATTATTTATGTCTCTTTGTCCCAACTAAACTACAAGCAAAGGATCAAGGAAATTTTCATATTCTCCTGTGCCCACCTCAGCATGGTAGCCAGAATAGAGTAAGTACTTCATAAATGTTTCTTGAGGGAATGAAATGTTCATATGRAAAGAAGGATGGATGGATAGACAGATGAATGGACAGACAAATGGGTGGATAAGGACTGGCCCCCTCTCCAAGAGGAGGCCTCATAGCAGAGGTTGACTTTTATGGTTGAATGAGTGTTTGGTGTCCAGAAGCCATGATCCTATCAAGAAAGAGACATGGAATATGAGAAGATCCATTCTAGTCCACTGCCTCCATGCTGCCATAGAAGGTGAAGAGCTCCCTCACATAAACACTCTCTTCCTTCCTCCTTCTAACGCTGTCACTCCTTGATGCAGAGGGCCTTGGGGGAGGAGCAGAGTCGATTACAATTAAGACAGAATTGCATTATGGAAATGAAATCCATGAGGGTCGTGGAACTCAGTTGCCTGCCTCTGGGAAGAAGCTAAATACCACAGATGGGAATGTTTAGGAGCTTAAAAAAAAAAAAAAAAAAAAAGGCTTATTTGGGAAAGTGCTTTCCTTGGATCTGATTTTGTGTCCCACTTCCTAAAGAAAGACAAGAATCCCACCAAATCTTTTGTAAAAAGGTCCTCAGTAAGTCCAAAGATAGTTTATTTCTTAACACAGAACTCCAAAATATCTCCACAAATGCTGAAGGCCATTGCCAAGTAGGAATGACGCATCGAAATTTCCTTGCCAGCGTACCCCATGTTAAATGGACTTGCCTTGGAAATTTGCTGTGACTTTGCATGTGTGTTTGAGAAAGGTGACCCTGCTCAAGGACCAGGGTGGATCCAGGTTTAGGGAGTATCCTGCAGGTTTAAGGAAGTATCTCGCTCCTTGGGTTTAGGGCGTTCCCGGTTTAAGACAATCTGGGTTTAGGGAAGTTCCAGGTTTAAGGTTATTGCTGCTGGGAATAGGGCGTTCCTGCTACCTGAGTTCCCGTTGAGTTCTCATGGAGAGAAAGTATTTGGGACGTGAATTGTGTGGGCAGAACTTGGATTTTCCCAGAACGTGTTTGTGTAGAGGCCGGTGTGAGTTCGGGAATAAAGAATTGGTGTTTGAATCTACAAGGTGTGTGGTGGCTCGTGATTCTTGTGCCCAGCCAAGACTGCGGCACACAAAGGCAGCCCAGAGGTCTAGCCAGAACAAAAATGTAACTGGTCTCAATGGTTCTCACTTCTTCAGTCACAGGGAGCTCAGCTGGAAAGGACTTAAACACAGTAATTCATTCAGATTGCTCTGCCACATTCAGGGGCCACCATTCAGAAGCTATGTGGATGTGCAAGAGTTGAAGAAAAAAGCACTGGGATTGCATTAGTGGGTCAGTAAATCTACCAAATAAGACAACCAGAACCCTGACTGTCCTTTATGTGGAAAGGAAAATAGACATTGCAGGAATGGATGGATTCATCTCTGCTGAAAATTTTTTTCTCAATTAAACTTTTCATAAATGAATGAAAAGTTCCACTTAAAATTYAAGGCTTGTCTGCAAGAGGTTTTGCTCAGTGGACAGGAAAAACATTAAGCAACAAACTGAGGACAGGACATTACCTGTGTGAGCATGGGGCTTAGAGGAAGTGAGGATCAGGACCAGGTCTCCCTGCASGACGATGGGCCTGTCTTCTTGTCATAGCTTCATCCCTGCTGGGTTTCTGGGGCTGCTCACACTGCAGAGCTTCTGCCCTGGACAGTCTGAGGGTCTTCTGGTTTGGGGTCCTGTCTCCAGGCAAAATGATTAGCTGATAAAGTTATTCAYTAAAGTTTAGGAGCAGTCAAAGAGGGAAGGAGATGGGGCTGTGGCCCAGGCCTCACCCTCTCCCTACCCTCTCCCAGAATGAAATGGATTTACTGCAAATTCACAAATTAATGGACTGGAAATCTCTGGCATCTAGAACAAGTTCACTGGCAGTTCCCATGAAATGAGTTCACAATGCCCACCTTCATCCTCTGGACCAGGAGGCTAGCTGGATAGCGCCCCCTAGTGGGACACTGACTCAATACCCGGGAACTGCACCTCTGCAATGGGATATTGGGGGCAACCTGCAGAGGGTCCCCAGGGACTTTCCTGTGACTCCACAAACATCTTGAAAGAAAACACTCACCTCACAAGATCTCTGGAACTTGAGCCTCTTGCTCAGTAAACCCGGGGAGTGGACTGGCGAAGCCTTCTTGGCCTTTCAACGAAAAAGTCGTTTGTTCTCTTTTGCCCCCGTGGGAGGCAGAGAAGCAGCTGGAGAAGGACAAGGAGGGGCTGCCTGGGAACCAGCAAACCAGGAGCCAAGACCACCCCTCCTTGCTGCTTGTTCTGGCTCTCCAAACGCCCAGCGTCATCATGGCTGCCCTCTACTTCCATGTGTGTACCTCCCAGCTGTCCTGAGAACTCCTAAGGAGGAGCACCTGCTCCCTCCCCACCCGCAGCCCAGAAAAGGGCCATCCTGAAGGAAGGATGAGAATGTGTCRTGGTGCACTTCATGATAGAGAGAGGCCAGGAAGAGGGAGAAGGCAGAGGAAAAAGAAAGAGCCTTTATACATGTAGAGAGATGAGGTCAAACCAWTTGACTTCTGTCCCCTCTGCCCAGCCACTTCAGAGTCAGGTAAAGGGACACAGAGGAAGTGTGGACCTTGTGATTTCCAGGCTTATGTTGGCTGTTGCTGTGTGTGGAAGATTTCACTGGACTGTTCAGGGGAAGCTGAGAGCCCATTTGTGCAGGGAGAGTGTAAGCGTCCTAGAAGCCTTGGTCTACGTGAGAGCAAAGCTGACTGCTGTCAGACATTCTGTGTTCAACTATTTGAGGGAACTGCATAGACCTTACTGAAGGAAGAAGATCCTACAGTTCTAAGAGTCTCCAGAGAGATCTAAGAGTGCTCCTGCACCACTAGRCAGACATTTATTCGTTCTGCCACACTCTTCAACAGCTCCATCAGGAATTCAAATTGGGAAGGTGAGACGCAGTTGGCCTGGCCTTACCTTGACTGGAATGGTGCTTCTCTTTTGCAGATTGCACCGCCTATTGCCAGCAAGGCATCTGCAGTGCTCTGAGCAACATGGATCCATAGAGCTGCCATAAAGTCAACCATTGCCTAGTTAGCACCTTGTCAGTGGATTGTCAGTGGGGTGGAGCTGCTTTGAAGAGGGRACCATACTACTTGAAATATTTGAGCCCCAGTAACCACAATAAACAAAGCACAAATCCTGTCTAAAGTATGAGACACTTGGCCTGGGAGCCCTAACTAGCCAGGCATTGATGGGACACTCTTGGATGCTGCTCAAACTTTAGCACATTCATCTTAGAAGCCAAAGGAAGACCTAGCTCAGTATTCAAATTGGCAAGAGCCATGGTTAGAGGTTCAATGGGCTCCTCAGACTCTCTAGGATGAGCTGGGACATATTTCCAAAAATGCCGCTAGAACCAGGTTTAGAGACTAAATAAACAGACACCTTCCAAACTTTTTCTTTACCATCAAAGAGAAATGTTTAAATCTGCATTTGAGACTTGGTTTATTAACTTAGACAATCAGAGGGGAAAATATTTGCACATGTACATGCATGTGTGTATATATGTGTGTTTTTATATTGTGGAAAATCTATAAATTCAAAACAATGTTAACCTAAACTCTTTGACACTAAAATCACTAAGTAATTCTTTTTTTTTTTAATATCTCAACTGGTAAGTGGCATGCATGTGTCTATTAACAGTCAATGCAATAAAATTACTATCTAGCAAAAGAATCCTTTGTTCCCTGGAATTCCCCATCATTAATTTCTTCTGCACCACTAAGAACATACATCAGGTATTGGCAAAATCTCACCCATAGACCATATCTGGCCCACCATTTGTGTTTGCAAATGAAATTTTAATGAAACTTGGCTATGCTCATTTGCTCACATATTTGTACTACTACTTTTGAGATCCAATAGCAGAATTAAATATTTTGAGCCTRTAAAGTGAAAAACATTTACTGTCTGGCCCTGTTCATCAAAAGTTTTCCAACTCCTACACTTCATTTAAATGGCTTTATTATATGTCCATCTAAAATGGTAAGACTTGGAGGGGCGCCATGTGAGTCTACATAGCTCCAGCCAGAACACAGTAACAAAACTCTGTTTATACAGCTCACGATCAGTGTTGTTTGAGTGGATAATGACCTTCTCCTCCTGATGGAAAATAGGAGACAAAATGCAAATGCGTCTTCTAAAAATACCCTCTGGTTAACGATAGGGGATGGGAGGGGTAGCCATATTGTGTTCACAGAGTGCTATACATGATACCCACGCAAACCRCTACTTTCCATTCTGGATGCCGTGTTCACGGTGTCTCCAAACAGACAGTATCCGGTCATGGTGAATTCCCCCCACACTAGCCACCACATCATCTGCAGGGGGGACTGCCAATGGGCTGGACCCCTGAGTATATCTCAGGTCAACAAGAACAATCACAAACATCCACTGAGTGCCCTCCGGCACAGAGCTTGGCAATACCTCTTAGAGTTTACAAGGGGGAAACCACAGAAGCCACAAATTTCTGACCACACTGTTCATGCACTAGAGATGTCAATAAAACCTGCACCGTACAAACACAGGAGTGATCGATTCTGATTRGAGATTGGGTTTCATTTAGTTCAGACTTGAAAGATAAGGACAAGGATGCCAGCTATATAATTTTAGGGTCCCAACACAAAATAAAAAACATGGGACCCTTTGTTCAAAGAGTATGAAGAATTTTCAGAGATAGAAGAATATTAAACCTAGTAGGGATCACATTCCCATGAGTTTGACCCAAATGGAACACATCAAAGGGCACTTGATACAGACACAAGGAGAAAAAGCTAGCCTGGGGTTCCTGTCCTGGTTTTTGTTCTCTTTAAGTTTGACTCAACTTCTCGGAGTCACTGTGGCCCATATTCTTACCAAGCAACCTAGCTGAGCAGAAACACACAGACAAAGACAAATCAATCTTTTGTTTCCCCTGAAGTTGTTACCATTTGTTTTAGYCAGACTTTTCACTGCTGAGACTAAAAGATCTGACCAGAACAATCATAGAGGATGAAAAGTTTATTTGAGGGCTCACAGTTTCAGAGGTCTCCAACCATAGACAGCAGATTCCCTTCCTCAGGGTTTAAGGCAAAGCAGGACATCATGGTGGAAGAGTAGCAGAGGGAAGACGCTCACATGATGATCAGGAAGCAGAGAGAGACTCCACTCTCCAGATACAAAATATACACCCAAAGCTACATCCGCAATGACCCACCTCCTCCAGCCTCATCCCATCTGCCTTCAGTTACCACTCAATTAATGCCACCAGGGGATTAATTCACTGATGGTGTTGAGGTTCTCATAACCCAATCATTTATTCTCTGAACCTTCTTGCATTGTCTCACACATGAACTTTTGGGGGACACCTCACATCCAACCATAACACCATTCAGTAACTGTGTTCCTAAAAGCCTTAGACGTCTGACTTGAGGCCAGAACTCCCTGCTGCCATACCTGGACCCTAAGGCCACCTGCCATCAGTTCTGACTACCTGTGTGGAGGCCAATCCAGGGCTTGAGCTTCTCCTCAGGCATGTGCCCACTCTGGCAGTGGAGGATGGCACTAAGGAAGGGAAGAGACATGGTGGCAATCCCATCCACGTGTCGGGTTCCGTTGCACATGGGAAGTCCACTAGCCACCATGAATGCGTCTTCAATGTTTCAACCTGAAAACAAAGTAACAAAGAGACTTTGTTTTTCACAAGGGAGGCAGTGGGTCGCAGGTGGGGATAGAGTCAGAGGGCAAGTCCTTGTCACCAGCCCCCGCCTTGGGGCGCCATGCCTTGGAACCTCACTCTTGCTGACTTCAGCCCCATCCAAGCATCAGCATTTCTTCCAGTTCCTCACCTTGCCTTGCTTTCTCCACAAATCCTCCTTCTACTGAGCCCTCCTCACAGCCGCTGCATCTGCCTCTGAAATGTGACAGAATTGGTGACCATATTTCCCCAACCTAAGACCAGAACCAACTGGACAGGCAGCAGCGTATTGATGGATTAAGTCAGGTGTGTGTGTGTGCCATACCATATAAAATGTATTTCTTTATACACCTGTAGATCTTGTGTCTCCCCCATCTGTTCTCTTCTCTCCCAATCCTCCTGATAAAATCAGTCCTTCATTTGTAATAGAGTAATAAAGAAGCAGAAGCTTAAAGCTTCAACCCTTTCCAGATACAATTGTATTTAGCAGAATCCAAAGATGATGTGGGAAAGGTAGAATTTCCTTTGCCGCATTAGCCCCGGCAGCAAAAACACTTCTGTCCTGTTGGCCCCCAAATTATAMAAAAAAAAAAAATCAACTTTGGACAAGTCCCACTTGCTTCTAGGAAGCCTCTCCCCACCATGAGAGCATCCTGCAGAAATATAAAGTGGCTGCAAATTAGCCCCTGCAAAGCAAAATTGGGAAGATCACTTTAAGAGGAAAACTCCAGTGGGTGCCTTCAGGGTGGTCTGGTTCTGTTGGCAGAGTGTGTGATGTGTCCTGGAAGGCTGTCCTGTCCATGCCAAAGCTACACCCCCCATGACCCACCTCCTCCAGCCACATCCCATCTGTCTTCAGTTACCACTCAATTAATGCCATCAGGGGATTAATTCACTGATTGTGTTGAGGTTCTCTTGTTGGGACTGTTCAGGGATAACCATGGAGGACCTATCATCTCAGCAGAGTGTGGATATGACTACGCTGTCCCCAAATCTTGCTGGACCCAGGACCATGGACAAAGGCTCTGTCCTGGGATCATAGTCAGAATAGGTGCCCTTGCAGCTGCCCACCAAATACTTGTGACCACGAGCACACAGTACTGTCCCTGGAGCCACAATTGACCCCATTCAAAAAGTCGGAAAATGCAGAAAGCAGCATCAGCAGCGCCACCTGGAGGAGCCAGATGGTGGCTGGATTTGCTGTCCTCCCCTCAGCTGCTTCCCACTTCAGGACATATTCAGATTTCGCCCTGAGCAGCACCAGGCAGGTAACTGTTGCCACTTCCCCTTTAGCTCCAATCTGAAAGTCTGAACTTGGGAGTGATCTTCACTATAAATTTCTAAGGATCCTAACAGCAGAAGTAACACTTTGGTCAAAAAGACAGCCTCCAAAGGAGTACAGGTCTGAGCCTCTGAATCCGGAGGAAAGAAATTCGGGAGGGAGGGGCGGAATTAGCCCCCATAAGATCAATGCCTCTTTAGAAATACGCTCACCATGAGACCAACCCAAGGAAGTACACAGGGCACAAACACATGGCACTGAGACTAATCAAACCCTTTGCAAAAGGACGATCGGGAATGAAATATTGAGCTTGGGCTGTGAATCGAGAGGGTCTGCCAGTGGGAACGGAGCCTCCCTCCTGGCTAGCATGAGGCATGCCCACCCTCAATCGTGCACAGGACGAGCAGCTGTGGCTTCACAGCCAGGAGCAAGTTGTCTCACCTTGCACACATCGTAGGTTGTAATGATGCGATCAAACAAACTGTACAAGTCRTTGAAGAGCTCTAATTTTTTTTGAACAGGATCTTCTTCATCTCACCTCCCACAAATCACTGCAAAGTTGTCCTCATAGGGCTTTTGGCTTCTGTGGGCTAGGTTTGTGGCTACCAAAATCCACTCTCTAGACTTCTTTTGACATCCATTTATTTCTCCACGTGCATTTTCTCTAGAGATCTATTTTAATTGATGATATAAATTGAGGGGAGACGTTGGGTAGTGGAGGTCACATAGATGCCTTTACACAAAGAGTTTTCTTGCCAAGGGCATCTCATTTTCCCCTACAGTTTATAAAGCGGACCTTGCTCTGCAAATGTGGAGCAAATGTAATCACTCACCAGTCCACCAGTAAAAATCAAACAATCTCAAGTTATTCACATTCAAATTCCAGCCCCCGCTTGGTAGTTCAAGATATACAGATGTAAAGAAATTTTAACAGCGAGTGCTTCTTCCAAACCTTTCCAGAGTGCATAGGTGAAAACAGAGGTGAAACAATGTTTGAACCTGAGGTCACCCTTGCAAAAAGATTTGGAGGTACAAGCGATGGACTTGTGGAACCCATGCGCCATCTAGTGGTCACTCTCCTGTTGCTGCATCTTCCATATAAAAGTCAAAGATAGAATGTTTCCTCTGATACACCAAAGCTAATCCAATCCAAAAAGGGGGAGATAAAAGAAGAAGAAGAATAGACAAAAAGTGGAGGACACAAAAGGAAAGGTAGGAGGGATGGGTTAGGGAAAGATAGTGGAATGAATCTGACCTAACTTTCCTATGTGCGTATGTGAATACACCACAGTGAATCTCACCATCCTGTACATCTAAAAGAAGTCTATTCGTGATTCCTATGGATACCAGAGAGTTTTGCCCCTATTTTCTTTAACCGGGTGTATCAATTACATGCACGCAAAAATGTTTGATCTCTTTTAGAAGAAAGTGACATCCTGTTCGGAAAATAACAAATGGGTCCTCCTGGTGCTGCTGCTGCTCCCTGAGTTTGACAAGACCCTCAATGCTCCGGAGAGCCTGGGCAGTATTGTAGACAGGAGCTTCTCCACCTCCTCTTCTCTGCCATCAGCTGGCCGGTCCTCTCTTCCAGTCTGTCCTCCAGGGGTCGGCATACTCTTCCAGCCTGCTCGTCATACTATCTGGTATGCTCACGTGGCTTTTAAAAAGTTCAGATGTTAACATCTTCTTCCAAACCACAGGCGCAGTGGAGCACAGCTCCCAGCTACATGCTCCAAGAAAACATTTCTCACCCTTAAGTTTTCCTACTTAACGGTTGCCAATGGACAATGGCCATGAGGCCACATGACAGAACAGAGCTTGTCCCTTCCAGCCTCATTCTTCATTTATCTGAGCCTCGGTTTACTCATCTGAAAAGAGAGGATAGTAAAAATAGCTCACAGGTCTATTCTGAGAATTTAGGAAGCTTATGTGTATAAAGTGCCTAGAGGTGAGTCTGGCACCCAGTGGCCCTCCCCTGACTTCCCAGCATGCTCCCTGCCAGGGACATGRCCAGCTGAAAACTGTACATGTCAGGATGGGTCATTCCTTTTAGATTCCCCAACGTAAAAGGGCACATCTAGATCCTACAGGTTTTTGTTCTAGAAGGTTCTTCAGAGAGAGCGTAAATGAATCTAAACATTACTCATTTCTAATGATGAGACTAAGACTCAGAAAATGGACTTGCCTTAACATCAGGACCATATTTTCTGAGTAAGCACATATCAATGGACCTGAGACATACCTTTATGTTATTTAGCTTCATTTAATCATCCACAAGTGTATGTATGTGTAATCATCCACAAGTTCATTTAATCATTCACAAATGTGTGTATCACATTTTATACCATGAATATAAAATTTTTTCATTCATCAATTTTAAATAATGTTTAAAATTCAGAAGTTAAAAAACAATTATGATCTGGGAAATGCAAAATAAGGGCCATTATGTTAAGAATGCATAGCTAAATGGCCAAATTAGGAGCAGACAATTGACCTCCAACCCAGGCTCCTTCTACCAGCTGCTCAAACTACCTCTAGCATAGTGACATTTTAATGTATAAAAGTGATACAATTATCTGATGTGAAGGAAGCTACTATTGAGAAAATTATTTGAGTTGCATGTATAACCTTACTGTAGGGTTGGAGGTGTAACTCATTGGTAGAGCACTTGCCTAGCATGTGCAAGGCCTGGATTCAATCCCTAGCACCACCAAAATTAAAGATGAACAAACTACTTTTAAATTGATGAAAAAAATTTATCCCATAATCCAATCTCAATTGATTAGGTGCAACCCTTGGAATGCTGATCTGAAAAAGATTCTGAGGTCATATCAAAACTCCCTGGGAAAGAGAGCCTTCATTGATTAGTGATGTCTAAAATGAACAGAGGGCAGTGGAATTATTCATRTCTGGCTCATTTTTATGAAATAAAGGGAGAATTCCTCATTCCACTCTTGTCAGCACCTATCACAGTGCTTTGTGTGTGGCAGGCACTGAGTCAATAYATGAAGAAGGAGGAGAGAAGGAAGGGAGGGAGAGAGGGAGGAAGAAGGGGAGGGGAAGGGAGGGGAGAGGAGAGACAAGGAACCCATCACAGCTATTGGTTTTAATCCTGACAGTAACCCRACTAGGAGAAAACACCTGTTGCACATCTAACTCACCCTGTAGCTTCTCTTACAGTTCTCCTGATGGRAGGGGAGCTGGGCCTTTTCCCTGGAGCCCATCCCAACATGCCCTCACCATGCCCATGACCTTTTCGTCACCCTTCTCCGGCAGGGAAGGTGGATGCAGAACTGGTGCCACGGGGTCTTTGATTCATTGATGACTCCTGGAAATTGTGTGGGATTTGGATCACTGAATGCCTGAGCTTGGCCACCTAGTGCATTCCCTTTAAACAGGAGCTGTGCTCTTACATTTGCAAACTGAGTTTTAAATAAATAGAACAGAGAAGCATTCTTGAGAAATCTGGATATTTTAATAGAAATACTATAAATTCTCATGGAAAATAAAGAATTCTAATGGAAAACATATAGGCACACCCCTCCCGGCAATTAACTGGTTTCTTTTTCTTTCTTTTTTTTTTTATTAGAGAGAGTGAGAGAGGAGAGTGAGAGAGGAGAGAGAGAGAATTTTTTTTTAATATTTATTTTCTAGTTCTCGGCGGACACAACATCTTTGTTGGTATGTGGTGCTGAGGATCGAACCCGGGCCGCACGCATGCCAGGCAAGCGCACTACCGCCTGAGCCAYATCCCCAGCCCTTAAGTGGTTTCTAAGTCAAGAATTTTTTAAGTGTAGCTTAAAAGTTCTTGAAGTGAATCAGACCTCTATATGATTTCAAGAATAAATAAGCATTTGGTGTTGGAAATTCCCAAAGTGCGATTTATGCAATTTTGCATTGCATATGATATGTTTTATAAAACCAATTTTAACAACCAATAAATGTTATGGCCATGTTCCATCTCTCTACTCAGTTTYGTAAACCTTTTTTTCACTTTCTCATTGGTGTAAACCAACATTTATTAAGCATGCCATTTACCCAAATTTTGAGAATAATGTACACATATTTGGTCTAAAAATTACAGTACTTGCAWCTACATAGATGATATCAAATGTATGTTACTAAGTAGAAAATTAGAAGATTTGGAGATGGACTTCAGACAGTGATAAAAGGATTCAATTGTATTATAATGTATGCTGTAAGATGTAAGATCACACTGAAGATAGGGGTGGAGGAGGTACAGACCTCCATAACTTCTGATGTAAGATGATAAGTCTAAAGTCAGGAATTATTCATAGTTGCTACATCCTAATTTCCCACAATTAAACCGCTGTACACACACACACACACACACACACACACACACACACACACACTGGGATTGAACAGATAGGTAACAGATGGCGGATGAGGGGAGCCAGGATTCTCACAGTTAGAGACAGAGCTTACAGATAAGGGGGCAGGTGCTAGACAGCACCATGGTGGTTATTGATTAGTTTAGAGATGCCAGGATGAAATCACAGCTAGCTTAATGTAGGTGCAGGTGTGCGTGCGCACTTGTGTGTATAATTTTRGATACATTTGTACATATACATGTTTCCTTGCACTGTCTAGTGACAGAGTCTAGAAGCCACAACACTCCCCAGGGAGTCTCAGGTCTTTCTAAAACTGTCCTCCAACAACAGAAACCAGGGCTCTTTGAAGAATCGGCTGCTCTTGTACAGTGGCAGGGGATACAGGAGAGGAGCYAGGAGCCCTGTGTAGAAGCAGAGAGTAGGGATGCGCTCAGGAATTAGACAGAACCCACSGCAGAGACTCTGTGTGGAAGAGACACAGATGCCACCTGGAATGTRGATGGTCAAAGATGGAACAGTTAGAGCAACGAGATTATAACCCAAGAATAGAATATCCATGAGTCCACTCTGATAGAAATAAATAATTGAGAAAATGGATCAACGGAGCAGAGAGAAGGATTCCAAATAATTTGGGTAGGTACTCTGCCTCCCGCCTCACCCTTCAGGTGTGGGCCACATGGTAGCTTCCTTTCACAGAGGACGGTGTGGCCTCAGGAGGTGAAGGATGACTTGACACCAAAGAAATCCACAAGCACCACCTCAACCAGTGATCAAGGTCAACATCAACAGCCACAGCCAAGTCCACAGTACGCCCTTGATGTGATACCATCAAAGTGACAATGTACCTCTACCGTGTCTTCCTCCCAACATATGGAACCCCAGTGAGAGAGCTGGGGGAAACTGGACAAATCCCAAAGGAGAGAGACATTCTACAAAATACCTGACTGGTACTCCTGAAAAAATGTCAAGGTCATCAGAAAAGGAAAGTCTGAGTAGTTTCTCCAGAGAGGCTTAACAAGTCTCAATGCAACAGGATACCCTGGACGGGATGCTGGGACAGAGGATGAACATTAGGCAAAAACTGAGGAAATCCAAATAAAGAAAGACCATCTACTAGTGTAATAATATTATATATATATTTATACATATACATGTTACAAAAAATATATATGTACATATACATGTTACAAGATGGTATATAAAGATGATTTTGTTTAAGTCTATATGTAAAGGCCTAAAAATATTCTGAAAAAATATATGTAAAGTTGTACTCTGGGAAATCATGTTTTACTTCCTAATGAAGCATAACTCAAGGRACAATAATGGCATTGGTGACAGAAGACAGTACTCATCTTCTGTCGTCCTGAATTTAGCTCTAAGAAAYGCCAGGAGAGTCGATAAAATGATAGAGGACTCTGAGAGCCCACCCATGCCATGCTCCTTGGAGGACATGAGCCTGTACCTAGTGACATGTGGCCAGATGTTTCCCACTACTGTCTTCCGCAGTCTAGTACTCATTTCGGTATCCTTTCTTTTCCTTTGGCAATGGACATTACACTCAGGTGGGGTGGGGGTGCGAATACAGATCTCTGGGCCCACCCCCCATTTCCAGCCAAGCAGGTGAGGAGCAAGGCCTGGGAATGTGCATTTCTGACAAGTTCCCAGATGAAGCTGATGGGTTGGTCCAAAGACCAGGAGGACCAAGGCCAGCGCTTCCCACACTGCGACTCACCTGGAAGCTTGATGGAAATGCACATTGTCAGGCCTCAGCCCAGACCTACCTWGTCAGAGACCCTGAGCAGGAGACTCAAGCACCCTGAGTCTGGGCAAGCCACCAGGGGATTCTGACACCTACTAGACTTTGAGAACCACTGGCCTGCTGTGCATGAAGGACTAATATTTACTCAGTTCYTGGAGGCAGGTTTGTTTGTAGGGAAGTATAGGAAGTTAATAAAAGACCTGTGTTGGTCTATGAATTAAGTACACACTGTATTTTTCCTGGTTACAATATCGAGTATACACAGGGCCATGTGACTGGATCTCACTCAACATGTGAAGATTACACTGAGCAGGAATGTACTGATCATCCACAGAACYCTCCCATCCCACCCTTAGACCCCAACTGCAAGATGGGATCTGGGCTTAGGGATCTTATGTGGGCCTCATCCACATTGGTTTATCAGAATCATTCCAAAGTCAGATGCTCCTGGATCTTGAGTTACCTCCGTTTCATTTAGTCACAAATTAGAAACTRGAATCTGGTTTAAAAGCAACTGCCTAGACTCACAGGGCCTCCTAATTTTAAGTCTTCAGGGAAGAGTTGATTTAAAGATGAGACTTGAGATAAGCCAATGAGGATCAACTAGGAATGATTTCCAAGATAAGAAAAATGTAAAAAGAAAAAGAAAAGGAAAACAACCCTCAAGAGTGAAAGATGGGCTGGGTTTACTTAGAATCTCTCTCTCTCTCTCTCTCTCTCTCTCTCTCTCTCTCTCACACACACACACACACACACACACACACTTACACACCTATCCCCTCTCCAAGGCAGAGGTTACCCCTTTTTTATTTTTTCATTTTCGCAATGCTGGAGGTTCAACCCAAGGCCTCTAGGCAAGTACTCTACCACTGAGTTGCACCCCCAGCCCAAGACAGGGGTTCTCAGCCTGCATTGCTACATACTAGAATCATCTGGGCAACTTCTAAAACCTTGATTCCCAGGAAGCAATGACATCAAATCTCCAGGGCTGAGGTACAGGCATCAGCATTTATTCAGAGGCAACACAGCAAAAAAGAAGCCTGAACACATTCTTTATACATGGACATTGGAGCAGCACTATCACAAATTTTAAATGTATTTATCTCTTTCATTTTATAGGATATAAATCTATCCTACAGAAACATTCAGCCTTGTGTGCAAAAATGCAAGATTAGTCATTGCTGCAACTTGTACAAGCCCAAAATGGGAAACAATCAAAATGTGTATCAGTGAATAATGCATGAACATATTTCACGATGAAGACGTTTGTAGTTCTTAAGAAAGAATGAGGCCGATTTGTATATAGGAATATGAGGTGAGGACTGTCCAGGCAGCAGAAACAGCATGGGCGAAGGGCCTGGGGTGAGAATGTGTCTGGCACTGTGGAGGCACATGAAGGGGGTTAGTAGGACTGAAAGGGGTGAGCCATGGAAGATGGAATTAGAAAGGGGTGGTAGGTTGAATGGTGGTCCCCAAAGAGACATGCCCAAGTCAGAATCACCTTATTTGGGAAATGGTCTTTGTAGAAATAATTTAGAATCTGTGTTGAGATCATCTTGGACTATCCACAAGGGCCTAAATTCAATGACGAGTGTCCTTATGAGACATACAGAGAATAAGTTCACAGAGAAGGAGGCAATGTGAAGACAGAGGCAGGCCTTGGGACCATGTGGCCACAAGCCCAGGAATGCTAGGGCAGCCACCAGAAGCCAGAGTAGGCCAAGAACAGAACAGAATCGTCCTCAGAGCTCCTGCTGGGAGCTGAGCATGGCTGACACCTTGAATTTGGACTTCTGGCCTCCAGAACTACATGAGCRTATGTTTTTGTTATTTCAAGTTTCCAAGTTTATAGTCATCATCACGGCAGCCCTAGGAGACTAACACCAAAGGCCACCTAGGCCAGGTATTTAGAGACCTTTGATGGCTTCAGGCCATAGGAAGGATTTTGTCTGAACTTCCCAGGTAGAAAAATGGCCCATTTTCCCATAGGATCCCCCTAGCAGCTAGAACAAGCGTATGATTGAGAGTAACTCGATATTTGTTTTAACCAATGTTTAATTCATTTTCTAATTAAAAGAATATAAATTTTTAAAACAAAAAAGGAATAAATTACAAATTAATAAAACAATTAATAAAAAAAAAAAAACATTCCAAAGCTAGCCCAAACTCCCCAAGCCTCCCCGCAGATTCTCCCAACGTCACCGCAGGSTGCCTCATCGAGGTTGCCCTCATCGAGGGCGCGTGGTCCTGGTGGTGGATAAAGTCCCTCAGGAGAATGGCAAAGCTGTAGACGTCTGCCCTTGGGGTGCCCGATGGGGAGCTCTGGGCAGCTCGGGGCTGTTCGGTGAGCTCTGCAAGGCCCTGGGGGTTGCGTGGAGAGAGAGCAGACTTGCAATACCAAAAGCCCCCCGGGGGTCCTTGGGGAGGGACAGGGGAGCAGACAGTGTCCAGCCCCTGAGAAGGCAAACTGGACCCCGTCTGAGTGGAAGAGCAAACAGGGTCCCTGGGATGCCCATGGAGAAAACAGCCAGGAAGSAGGCGCCCCGGCAGCTGAGTGGTAGCTGGTGTGGTTCCAGGGTGGTACCCTGGTGTGGCAGGTGGTCTCCTTCCTTCTCCAAATTGCCTACACTTGTAAAATCTCATGTACCGAGGGAACATCCACTTAACCTACATTAATTGTTTTAAGGTGAATGACTGGAGATGTTTAGCACCTTCACCATGTGTGCAGCCAACACCTCTTTTATTTTTTTCTTTTTGGTGATGCCGGGGATTGAACCCAGGGCCTTGTGCATGTGAGGCAAGCACTCTACCAACTGAGTTATATCCCCAGCCCCCAGCCTCTTTCTAATTCCAAAATATTTCCATCATCCAGAACAGAATGCCTTACCTATCAGTGCAGTCTCTTCTGGCCTCCTGCCCCTGTAACCATC